TCTCTTACCTGAGACTTGAGCATTCCATATTTGTACAGCGGATGCCCTTCGTATACATCTGTATCATATGCAATGAGTGGGTTCTCAGCATATAGGGCCCAGCCCTCTACGAACGCGGTGTATGATGTCACTGATGACAACCACCTGATTATACCACCACAAGAGTCCTGAAAATGTTCGGCATAACCTTGTCGCTGAAAGAGAGAGAATTAATTACTGGGTTTTTCCGGTTCCCAAGCTCATGTAGGTGGCTATTATTAAATTGTTCCCCTGCATAATTTCTCCTTTTCCTTGGGAAGAAACGTGAGGCGATTTTTTGTTTTAAAACAATCAAATCCGCTCTAGCAACTGCAATCGCACTCACCTGAGTGTGGTGCCCTGGTCTCGCTTCATGAGCGTTCACGCTCCATTGCATATACCTAGGCCCAGGCCTCTCAAGAAAGAAAGGAATGAAGTACTTCGCGTTCCTACTGCACTTGCTGTCACTTTTCAAGTAACTCGCTACGCCAGCTGAAGGATTGAAATCCGGCACTATTTCCAGCGGACAGTTCGGAGTTGTGTGTTTCTTTCCCGTGAAGTAGAACATCTGGGAAGTTTTTGGATCTAACATACTCATGACCTGGGAATAGAAAAACTGCTTCAATCTCTGAGAGTTATAAAGAGCGGCACAAAAAAGATGGTAGAAATGTGTGGAGACAGAGCGGAAAAAACTCTGCAACTGTTACCTCTCTTGTTTCTGTGAACCATCGCTGAATGGCTCGCCAGCGATGTGGACAGTTTTGCCTCGCGCCTTCCACTGAACTGCAAAGCCTGAACGCGGTGCTGCCAGACTCATGAGCCGGAATGGGTTGGTCGTTGAAAAACATATCAGAGTGATTCGTCATTTTTACGAACTCTTCCTTTGCTGTATTGTTGTTGTTTTGCCCGGTGAATTGACGCGCTACTTCAAGGGCCTAAAAAACGGTAAATTTTGTGTTTTTATGGTGAGCCGTTTAAAATGAGATATTTCAGTTCCATTATCAGCGCTCATGTCCTAAGGAGATGCTCCATATTACCTAGTGTCAAATCATTTATATAAGACTGAATTCTTATCAACTGAAAATTCTTCAGCCTTGTTTCCCTTGCAGTGACCAAAACCTGAGCACTAACGAGTTAACCCCCTCACTCCTAAGATCTCATTATTAATCCACCATACTGTATGTCATACAATTCTAGCGAGGTTAGTTAGGAAAATTTAGTATTGAATCAACCGATAATCCCTTTATTGACTATTTCCTTCATTCTCGTAACTCTTCCGTTTGATATTGTATTGATATTGTAAGGAGAAATTCTCTCTCAGTCACTCATGGGACTTAGCATTGCTTTTTTTTGTTCTGCTTGACAAGAGGTAACGACTTCGTTTGACGTCGATTTGAATGGTATGAAAACCCACCTGAAACAAAGTAAATTTTACTAACCTCAGGGTAAAGTTTGTGAAGCATCTTATATCCAAGTTCGTGCACCTCATCCGGGGTATTATTTGTGGTAGTGAAGTATGAAAGAATTTCGACGTAAGCCCGCGATCCGTTCAGAGGCTCTCCTGACGGTAGCACTTTTGTGGTTTTTCGGTTAATGTCTGCAGTTCCATTGACATACACGAAGGAGAGTGGGAGGAAGGACAAACCGCTGGACACACTGCTCGGCACACAGTGTTGCATGTGTTCATGCTTAAGGTATCTAAAGAAATGTAAACCTTTTGGTAAGGTTAGTCCTGGTATCATTACAATTAACCCCTTTCCACCCCTTCCTTGTTCTACGCTATCCTCACCCCCCCC